AGGGGTTTTTTGGGGGGGTGATAAGTGATGTAAGAGGGGTTTTGAGAGGGGGGGTGGTAGGATGGAGGAGTTTGTGGAGGGGAGGGGGAGGGGGAGGGGGAGAGGGAGGGGGAGGGAAAGGGGGGGGGGGAGGAGAGAGAGTGGGAGAAGAGAGGAGGGGGAAGGAGAATGGGTTTGGAAGCCTGACTTTGAGAGAGAGAAGGCTCAAGGTGTGATAGTTTATGACAATGCCATCTAGGGTAAGAGGGGCGTTGTTTTTGGTTCCTAGGCATATTATCAAGGAGGGGGAATGGGCGGGGCAGGGGGTTGAATGGGAAGCGAAGTAGGCACAGATTGAGAACAGGCAAAGGAGGAGATCAGAGGTGGCAGAGGAAGGTGGTGGTTGAGAGGAGGAGATAGGATCAGAGTACACAAGAACAAGAGGTTGATGATAATGGCCACCGACTATTACTCCGTGATGCGAAATGGGAGGATTGGAGTTCAAAGGGTTAGGATGAACTGGCGGGGTGGAAATCGAAGAGACTGGGGGCAGACGAAGAAGCGGAGGGGAAGTGGAGGAGCTCGAGGCGCCTCCCTCAGAATTTGAATATGACGAAGAGAGAGAGCGAATGGGCGCATAATGTGGCAGGGAGCTAGGAGTATAAGATCCAGTTGGCATCAAAAGGCTTGCCACTTGTCTCAGGATCAGGTTCATGGAGGGTTGTGGAGAGGACGAGTGATGGGACCCATGAAAATTGGGAGAACACGTAGCAGGAACAATGAGAGCCCGAGAGGGTGAGTTGATATGAGTCAATGATGCGTGGACAGAAGGCAGAGCATCTGAGAAAGCACGCATTACTAAAAGGCTGCTCTCATTAATGGGGGCTTTAAGTGATGCATTTAATGGATGAGGCGTTTGATCTGGCAAAGGTGGCACCTCATTTAATGTCAGAGTATAGGATCGAGGGGGGCATATGTAGGTTCAAGAAAGGGGCTGGAAATCAGACAGCCCAAGGTCTTTGGGTGACATCTGGTGCTGGTCCCAAGGAGATGCAGGTGGCATTGGGTGATGATGTTGAGGAGATTCAGCCAGCAGAAATATGGAGTGAAGGGGGAGGTCAACTGATGAGGGAGGAGTATGGAGAAGGGGGATTGCCAGACTACCATTGGGGTAAGGACCATGGGACTTAGGGCGGTTCCTACATCCTACTGTAGTCCATCCTTGGTGGTCTTGGTTGGGGCTTCCAAAACAAAGATTTTTACAGGGTAGGAAAGACCCTCAAAATGGTGATGCAAGAGATCGAGGATGAGACCTACATTGTCTGAGGCAACTAGAATGATAATAACTCCAAGAGTAGAGCACCCAGGGACTTGCAATGGACCGAGAGCAAGTCTCCACAGCAATTCCCTATTGCCTTGAACACTTGGTGAGTCCATAAGGGAATAGGGGTCCCAGCAACCTCTATCCAGATATTTTCTTTGCGGTGAGTGTCCAAGTGGACATTCCATCTTTGATGATTAAGGAGGCCACCATGGAACATAAGTTTGGATTTCGGAATTTTAGAGTGAAAATTGACTAGTGTTGAGGCCAGATACATACCATTATGAAGAAGCCTATAAGAAACCTTGGGGGATCAAAAGATATGCTGGAACAATTTTGAAACTCCTCTCAAGTCCTTGCATTGGAAGTAAATGAGGCAATAAAGGATGTACTCAGGGAGGAAATATGATCTGAGATTTCAGGGTTGTTGGGTAGCCATAAATGGGAGGTAGAGTTGATATATGAAATATGGTGTTGGCTTGAGGAACGATTGTGGGGGAGGCTGGGGAGGAGGTGAGGGAGGCACCGGCTCAGCAGTTATCTGAGAGAAGGTTTTTGGTGCATGCTGGGGAATGGTAGCAGGATTAGGATTTGAAGGAGGATGAGGGTTATTAGAAGTTTGAGTTATGGGTGTAGAAGAAGGCTTTTAAGGGTAAATGAGAGTATGATAATGATTGTAGAGGGGAAGGGGTGGGGTTTGGGGTGCACAGTAGGGATGGGGCTTGGATACAAAGGGGAAGGGATTCATGAAGCCAGAAACTTGGCCCGAATGTTTTTGTTTTTTAATCCTTCCTTTAAGAATGAATTGTTCTCTGTTTTCTTCTTTTGGGAGGAAGACAGGCAGAGATTGAGGCCAAACGAATCTTAACACAAACAAAATTTCACACACCAAACAACACCATCACCCTAGGGCAACACATCATGCACACTCACCTACATGTGATGACATGGCAGCCAAGTGGGGCCCATTGGCCACTTGGGCGCTACATGGTCCACATGTATGGCTGTCCTTGACACTACACTCGGTTAGATCCGAAACCCGAAGTCATTTTTATTGGATTGACCCAACAAGGTCATGTCCCATAGACTCTAGCAGGGGCCCATGCTTGACTCATCAAAGCCAACCCAATAGATGACGGAATTCCATATTTATAGTAAATTTTGCTGATGGACCCCTGTGGACTTGCACTCATGCATATGCAAGGGTCCTCTCTCTTAGCACATGTGCATAACTATATCTCAACCTTGAAAGAGTGGCTTTCCTTTTACAACTGTCTATGAACATGCTGTGAGAAGGCTCGAGGTCATTTTGGCTTATGTCCTCTCACATAGGCATCTCACATAGGCTCACAGAAATATTCAAGCTCACAGAAGTACTCACAAATAAATAGAACTACTTCAAAATTACTCATACCCTGGCTCACACAACCATGAGGCGTACTCATACCTACCCCTGACTAGAGAAAACCCTCAAACCTCTTAGTTCAAGGCCCCATTAAGCACATTCCTCATGATTTGAGGTTTTAGGTCTCTCCAAATCCCAATTTGCGAAGACTTTGGTGGAACAAAGGTTCAGGTTCAATCCCATTGTGACCAAGAACCATCACAGAGTGCTAGAGTCAAGACCTTGAAAGGCCATAACTCCAACAACCTTAACTAGAGCTCAGGTGAGGTTGATTGTATTTGGTGTACTAGTGATGATCCCTAGTGTTTGAGGGAAACTCCCAAAATGCCTTTCACTCATTCAGGAGGGATATATGTCCCCCTGTAGAATCTATTTGTGAAACTCACAAAGATAATATAGTAAATGCAATAATCAGTGTAGTTAATGTGCCAACTCAGTGTAGTTAATGTGTCAACTAGACACCAATACAGGGTTTCAGAAACTAACCAATTTGAGTTTACAATGGGATGTGGATCTAAGAGATTTCATGCCACCAGAGATTTATAGTGCATATAGCACCTATTATGTTATTAGATCTATTGGTCATGGAATGGAATTATCACGTATAATAGAAAAAAGAATTAAGCAGTCAATGACAATGTGGTCAATATACAGGGACATCTCACAGTTTTTAGTTGGCTGGAGATCTTGAAACGATGAAGTTGGTGAAAAGGTCACTAAGAATTGCAAAAAAGGGAGATGCCATACATTAGCACCAAAAATACAAATTAAATGTATTGAGGTAGAAAGATGATCACAATTTCTTCAAATCTCAACTCTATTAAGAAGAACAAGAAATCTCGTAGGTTACAACAGACAGGATGACAACTTGGTCCTCAAATATCAAAGGAGATCAAGATGAAAGCAATTAAGTACATCAAATCTACCCACTACTTTAGTTGCAGATATCTTGCGCTTGGATAGTGCTTCTGCTCCAAAACCCATGCTCCCAATGGCAACACTGAGGTGATTCCTCATGCATCAGCTTCAAGGATGTTTTCAAGGCACTTCAAAGAACTAGGCCCTTTGCTTCCGCTGAACATGGGTACCAGTCTACAAGCCGTGTATGACAAGGATAATGCGCATCTCGCGAAAATCCAAGTGATAACATTATTTTCAAAATCATAGTTAGCCAGACAGTAGCAATAGATTATGAAGCCATCAAGCTCGACATTACAGTATTAGTAGAAGAATCTGAAGGTGATAAAACTCCCTCTGTGAAAACTCCCCCGCCCTACCCCAACCCCCTCTCCCCCCTCCTCAAACTTGAGGAAACAATATTCCTTTCCTTCTAGAAATTACAGGATATTGACTGAGGGCATGCACTATACCATCCCTTCAAAATAAACATGGTTGACAACCTGGAAACGAAGGCACTGATGATAGTATAACCCCTAAGAAGACAAAGTGATATGTGAAAAAATGCTATACAGTCTTGGAAAAGGAAAGATTAACACATCAGTTCTAACAGACTCCATAGCATACTGACACATAAGACATGTTGGGAACTGGAACTTATGCAATAAGATACTTTCTTTTAGAGAAAGAGCCTTATCAAGCACTGCAAGCCAACAAAGGGAGAGAAATATTCGAAGGTCCAAACACCCAATAAAAGTATGTTGATCACCTTTAAAATATTACTGCAAACTATGATGGAGGGATTTGATAGAAAAGATAAACTCTTTTTCCTAGCAACAACATGAAGACTTTCTCATAGCAAGAGCATCCTAGAATTTCCTTATGGAAAAATAAAAAAAGGCTTTAGACTACTTGATTCATCAATTTCCCCATCCCTTGGTCCTTTTGAAACAATGACGTCACACGATTGCCCATTTCTCTACAACAGCCATTGCTCAAGTGGGTTTGGCAATTGTATTACACCGCAAACAAATTTAATACTTTCAAATGAGAATGATAGCATCAAAATGCAGGTAGACTACTAATATGACCGCTATGCCAAAGCAGGAAGAGATTCAGATGATCAATTTCATCCCTGTATCAGGTAGCCTTTTAGACATTCATCTGTTCAAACTACATAAAGTTGCACCTGTTTACAAAAAGAAACCTTCTAAACCTGTCAAGAGAAATAAATTTTCCAATTTCCATGAGTTGTATTTACATATGAACTTGAGAAAGATACGAAAATTGTGAAGTACGCAGAGAAGTAGCTAATGAATCCCAAAGTTCACTATCAGTTTTAGACAACTAAATACACTAAAGAAACACCCTACAAATCAAATTGTAAACTGCCACAAGGGATCAATTGCTTCTGATGTATTTATTGATTGATTCAAAAACAATTCATGATCTGGACATGAGAAAATCAAACGGTCAATAAAGAAGAAGAGAGAACAAAAATGTCCATCCCAACAAAAATTCAAGACCTACACTACTAATGTGAGACAATTGGCAAAGTTTCATCCTATAAACAATTGTACACCCTAAGAAAGCAGTATGAACAATGAACTCTGAGAATTGTGAGACCATAGGAAAAAAAATTACACAATCTCAACTTGTCTAAGATGCAGATTGGGAAGAATTGCGTGCTTCTCTCACCCTACCCGCCAATGCTCTGCGAACAACTGATGCTTTCCTCTCAATAAAACATTCCTCAATGCTCGCATCCCTATAATACTGCGAGCTCTGGTCATGCAAAGAGTAATCATCAGAAAGGGAAGTGTAGTCTTCCCTCATAAGAAGCACATTGTGAAGAATGGCACAGGCCCCAATACAAGCAACCCCCATTTTGAACTCTTCATCAATAGGGCGAGCCAGAATACCCCAATTCCTCAAGCTGGCTAAAGTTCGGAGAGCTGGCCTCCTCATAAGCTCATGGATGGCATTGAAATCTTCTTCGCAAGAAGAGGCCACAGGCTCTGTGTAAGGAATCATTAACCATGGGAGCAAGGGATAACCATTATCCCCAACCAAATATTGTGGAATTGGCACCCCTTTCAAATACCGAGGAGGAAGATTCATAAGCTTCCCTTCTTCCACATCTTTATACAAAGTAGAAGATCTCAGCACCCTTGCGTCCCCTTTATCGCCATGAAAACCAGTTATAATGCTAAGAATCCTCGACCACGAATCAACTACTATTTGAGCAACCACACTATCTTCTTCCTCTTCTTCTTCAATTTCACTGCCCACATCTTTATCTGCAGAGCTTCGAATTGGGGAGTTGCTTTTCGTCAAAAGCTTGAACCTTGTCGAATCAATGGCTCCACAACAATGAGGTAGGCCACCAATGGCTTCAAAATCAACCATAACTGGGTTAAGCTCAGATGGGGCCGGGAAAGCAACCCAAAACCTGAAGTTAGTGCACAGGACTCGACATAGCTGCTTTGAACAAAACCTAGCAGTGGACTCAGGGACCCCAAATCGAGCAGAGATGTGCTTGTAGCTCGAACCAGTGGCTAAACGAAAAAGACCGATACCAAGCCGAGAAGGAGCTGCAAGGTTCAGGGGAGAACCCACTGGGTCTCTGCATTCTAACAACGGCTCAAGCATTCCTACAAGCCATTCAAAGGTACTCGCATTCATGCGAAAGAATAACTGGAAAGAAGCAGTGTTTAGGGGATTTGGGGTGAGCCCAGTTTCCACGGAGGTTTGTTCTGGTTCCAATTGGAGCCTTTTGCGCTTAGAGTTTGGGGATTTTGGAGTCCCTGAAACTGATTTACTGGCTACAGCAATGGCCGCCATTTCAGAGGACGAGAGGAGGTGGAGGATGATGGGGAAGAGAGAGGAAAAGGAGGAAGGTGATGGTGAAGAGAGAGGACAAAGATCGGGACAAGTGCAGAGGGTGAGTATAAGGAGGGCGACTTCCGAAACAATGGACGAAACCATGGCCGCCATGGCCTTGGAATCCATGGTTTTTTCCCTCTTTTTCCTTCTCTTTTTGGATTTTTTTGTACCATTTCTATCCCCTATTATCGCCCGTCTCCGCTTCCATCTCCCTCTGCAACCAGGCTTATCTCTCTCTCTTCTCCCCCTTTCTTTGTTTTCCAAAAAACCTCCTCCTCCCCTTTCTGGCCGTCGCGATCCCTTTTAATGGAGTTGCTGATCCAAATGTCAAAAGTCTCTCAATTGCAATTGATTAGGAAAGCCGCAGCAACTTATGAGCGTCTACACCATGCTCCATCGGGAGCACACTAAAATTTACTCCCTCCGGCAAAACACTTGGGAAGTTTTTAATTTATTTGAAATTTTGGATCCATCTGGTTATAAATCGATCATTATTTTTAAATAAAAATTTAAATTTTGAGTTTTTGATCATCTAGATCATGCCCTCTGGAAATTAGATGGTTCTAGTGCAATCTTTGGATGCCATTCTTTTTAGGCACATAGAGAGCAAGAGTTAAAATTTTCTTTAATGGGTTTTTTGAGACCATAGGATTTGTAAATCCAGGTTTTGTATGTCCAGGTTTGGATGTCGTTTGGGTATAATTTTCGAGATTATATCCTGAATATCCACATCTTCAAAACCACTCATATCCAGCATTTACTCATTCCAAAAAAATCTTACAATGATCTGGTTGGCCCTAGCTTTCTTAAAACCGCAGTGCTTTTAAAAAGAGAGAAGAAAAGCGTGCGTCGCGACCCCTAGGGTTCTTGCACGTGCGTACATGAGGGTGATCCTGATGCCTACTAGGATAAGGGTTGCATGGTGCGGTGTGTGCGGTTCGAACCAACAAAAAAAAGAATCGAGTTAAGGCTTACCTCGTGATTGGGGTTGGATACTACCTGGAGTGTGTGCCCTCTTAGATTTTAGCATCCTAAGGCGTCGCTTGAAAGCCTCCCCACCTTTCGGCACAATTTGAGACCAACTCCTTCACGACGTCCCTTGCTCGGTTTGCACACACTTGTATCGTTCAGGTCAAGGACCCTCAATTCATCTCTTAGGTTTAGAGGAAGAGGTTGTGCTTGGTTGATAAAGTTAAGGTGGGATAGAGGTGAGTCCAGCTTAGATGGGTTGGGGTTGATAGGTCAAGGAAAAAGGGTGACCATTCAATAAAAGCTACTAGCCTTCTGGTGTCACCTCCCCTAGAAGGTAATACTGAGGACGGGATACATGCACTAAGCACTAGGCATGGATACCCCGTAGACGAGTTTTGGACGATATACTGGGTCTTATCATGATGCCTCTACCCAAGAGCAAACCTTCTTAGAGAGTGGGGGCTAGATAGAGGAATGCGTTAAAAGGAGAAAATGAAAGAGCATAAGAGAAAGAGAAGAAAGAGAAAAGAGCAGTCGATGAAGGAAGTGAAAAGAGAAGAAGAGAGTAAGAAGAGAAGAGAGAAGAAGAAATCCACGAGCCTTCCAACGTCACCTCCCGTAGGAAGCAATACCAGAGATAGGATAAAGATACTAGGCACTAAGCCTAAGTACCTTAGAAAGAAATCTTGGATGATATACCAGGTCTTATCCTGACGCTCTACCCTATAGCAAGCCTCCTTAGAGGCGGGAGAAGTGAAAGAGGAGAAGAGAAAAAGAGAAGAAAGAGAGAAAAAGATAGTAAGAAGAAAGTACTCTGGAGGCAAGTCTCGGGCAATATACCGGGTCTTACCCTGACGCTCTACCCAAAAGAAAGCCTCAGAAAGAGAAGAAAATGAATAGAGAAGAAGGGAAAAAAGAGAGAAAAGGAGACGAGGGAAAGATAGAGTGACAAGAGGGAAAGGGAAAGAAGGGAGTAAAAAGAGAGAAGGAGAGAGGCAAGGGAGAAGAGAGGATAAGAGAGAAGAGAAAGAGGGGGAGAGAGAGGCTAGCGGCTTGGCCGTCGGTCTGGAGAGGGGGGGGGGGAGAGAAAGAGAGGCCGGCAGCCAAGCAGAGAGAGAGAGAGGGAGAGAGGCCAACAACTTGGCCACCAGTCTAGGGGAAGATAGAGAGAGAGAGAGAGAGAGAGTGGAGGACAGAGAGAGAAAGAGAGACCTTATGGAGTGATCGGTGGGTTGAGAGACCGGTGGCTTTGGGAAACCAATACCTTGAGAGGAGTATGGCTTGGTTATAGGGTGTAGGGTATAGGGTGTATGGTGTAGGTTGTGTGGACTAGGGTGTAGGGTGGAAAAACTAGGGTGTAGGGTGTATGGACTAGGGTATATGATGGGTAGAGGCAGTCCTCTCAAAGGTAAAAGTTTTCTCTCTCTTGGTTATCTCAAGCACAATTTCAATTCATTTCAAGTCAAATTTGCCAACCATAACAAATTACAAGCCATGTGCTTATATAGAGGCACCCCTTAATAAGGGTGTACACTCAAAAGCTAAGTGAATGGACTATATTAAGTGAATAAAAAGTGAATCCTGAAATTGGTAAAAATGACCAATTTTACACACAAAGAAAAAATGAAACTGACAAAACAATCCCTTCAAAAGGGGCTCATCCCTTCCATATGGTTAGGGGCCTTGTTTCGAGCGATCCGACAGCGTTACGGGTGATCTATCATCATTAAAACGTAGTTCAACCCGAGAGGAACAATTTGATATCTATTTTGCATGATGTTGTGAAGTATTGATCATGGTCTTCGAAGTTTTGAAATTCTGGCTGAACATGCAAACTTGACTTTCTTGAATGCTAGATCTAGCTCTAATCACCAGTTATTTGGTCTTCTTTTTTATGGTCAATCGAAGAGGACGTCGTTGTGGTCGGTTTGCAACAAAAAAACCACATGATTTGGATTCTAATTGATTGTTTTATGATTTTTGGAAGTTGTTGGAAAATAGTTTTTTGGTGACCAAAAAATTATGCCTTTGGTGCGAGCTTTGATCCAGTGCCCTCCTGGTTGTCATCAAGCGCCCATCTTACCTCAAAATGAAGCTCTTCAAGTCACAGTCACAATGGTTTTGTTTTTAGGGTCATCTGACTTCAAGGCTTCAAGATTCATCCGTTGGAGCGAGGGGAGGTCACGCACACAAAATGTTGCAAAACATGTTTTCCGGGCAACTTTCTCTTTAAGATTTCTTCCATCTCAATGATCAGCTTGGGGAGTGCCATATGTCAAAATCTTCCTCTGGACGAGGGGAACGACATATTAAAAATTGAGCCTGATCTGCCTCAGGGTCGCCGATATACAAGCCTCGAAAGAATGCCCCATTTTTGGAAAACACATCATATTTTTACTAAAAATGGAAACCAGCTCTTGATGGTTGTATATAAATAGTAAAAATCTTGCATATTTTAATAAAGTCGGACCTAGAAACGTCTAATTGAGCTGAAATTTGGAGGTTAAGCTTTTTTCTGCCTTTTGTATCCATCTACAGTGGTCTTTGATGATCACTATGATATGGTTCTAGTTATGTGGTAGCTCGTACACATTAGAGTCGAAGTCCAAACCGAACCTTCATCATGTTCCCTCGCAACATTTAAGGCAAAATTTTGGGACGGACTTTGGGACATCAAAGGTCGCTCTCACGTGCCTTTTGGGGCCATGATAACACCATTTTGATAACTCTTCAAAATTAGGCTTATTTTCGTGCAGGCTTTTATAGTCTATAGGCATTTTTGGTACCTATAGGCCTGGGTTGCAACTACCTCATCTTTTATTCACATAGAGAAACAAGTGCATCAAAAATACCCTACAACAGCTTGCCCCACTAAACGTCTCTCTTCGAGAGGAACTAGAAGTGTGACATTCAGAACAAAATTGCCCAAGCCCATGGAGGGGTAACTGAGGATGTTTTTTGTTCAAACAATTGTGGGCCTTGCCCATATTGTCAGAATTTGAATTTGACTGGAAGTCAGGGGTCTTTATTAAGGTATTCCTTCCCAATCCGTCAGGATTTCAAGAAAGTCTGGTAGTCGGGGCCAATGGGAGCTTCCCCCTCAATTCATTATGCTTCAATTTTGGTCTATTGATGGGGCCATTAGGAGCTTGCTCCCCAATCCAGCGGTGCCCTTCTTGGGCATATGAGCTGCTTCACGGATATTCAAATCGATTGACAATTGGTGGCCTCTTTGACGCATTTACCCAATCTACTAGTCCTAGTCAGGGACCTTTAGAGCCAGAACCCAAATTCGAGGCATATATAGCAGTGGGGAGCATTATTAAAGCGCTTACCCAGACGGTAGAGATATTGAACTGATTTGATAACCAATAGCCTTTTAGGTACATGTGACGTGATCTGTTGTAATGATTATGTTTTTGTTGACTTCTTGGGGGAGAAACCTTTCAAAAGGTTACCGATCCAATTTGTCAGCTTGTTGATCATTTTGACATTATGGATCCTTTTGAAGGCCAATCCCAAATTGTTAGAGCTTTTCAACTATTTTTGGTTTAGCAGTAGGGTGCCCTTTTAAGGGGCATGATTTTCCGAAGGTACTAAGCTTTTCATCTTGAGATGGTTGAAGTTGCCTATCATGGTGAGTACTGCATCAACCTGTTTATTAGCCTAGGTGTCCTTTTGGGTTTTTTGGAAGTAGTGTCGCGTAATGGTTTTCACCAACTCCCTCTTTATTTGGCTCTTTTACCCTTGACTTCCTGGTCATGTCCACCTTTAGCCAATTTTGCTCATGATCTTTATTAGACTTGCAGCATGCCTAGTTTTCCTTTTTGGGCACTTTTACCCATGACTTCATGATCATGTCTCACACCCCAAGTTTACTAATATTTTTGATGTGTGACAGGCTACTCTTA